GCTGTGAGTTAAGACCAGCCTAGCCAACATGGTGAAACCCCATCTCTACCAAAAATACAAAAATTCACCAGGGCTAGTGGCATATGCTTGTAATCCCAGCTACTTGAGAGGCTGAGGCAGGAGGATTCCTTGAACCCAGAGGTTGCAGTAAGCCAAGGTTGTACTGCTGCGCTTCAGCCTGGGCAACGGAGTGAGACTCTATCTCAAAAAAAAAAAAAAAGAAAAAGAAAAAATTAAACGTGTCAGAGTAAGCCTTTTTGAAATATCATTTGAACAGACACTTGAAGGAGTTAACATATTCTGTAGCCAAGGATGGAGAGGCCATCAGTTGACATAGGAAAAACTGCGAAGCAGATTTGGGAACAAAGATCCCAAAGTGTTTACAGTATGTTCACTTTGAAGTGTCTACAGGAAATGGCTTGGGTTTAGTAGTGTTGAATTCAGGAGTGATAGGCTAGAGACAGAAATTTGGAATTGGCAGCATTAAAGCCACACAGCTACAAGATTGAATGAGATTTCTATACTTATCAAGAGGTAAGTATAGAGATGATAACCAAATGTGTTGATATATGAGGCCCTCATAAAATTGGTTCTTTTTCCGCTTCCGAATTTACACACAAGCACACTTGATGATTTAGCCGTATCAAACTGACTGTAGTTTTCCGACTACATCATTGTTATTTTTTGTGTGTTTTATTGGACTGCATCTCCTGCCTTAAGAGAATAAGCTAGTCATTCTTCAAAGTGTTTCCCAGGGTCACCTTCATTCTAATATTTTTGTGCTATATGTGCATTCACTGTTAGTAGCACATTGTATATACCTGTCTTTCCTACTAAATATAAATTCCTTTGCATTCCAGATGCATAACACATAGATATTCAAATTTATTGAAATGGTATGCTTTTTAAATAGGCAACTCTGTTCTTAAGAACTTTAGAAAAATTTAGATTCACAGAATTCTTAAAATCTCCATTAGATTAGTTTTTTAATAGAGACTTTGGACTTTTGATTTTTTTATAGATTATTTTAACTAAAAGCTTTTTGGTTGTTTACATTCAAGTAATGTTATCATTTTATTGACATTTCTACATATCCCTTATGCTTACGCCTTTACTACATGTTGTTTGCTAAATTTGCAAGTTGATGTTATTACTTTGATATATTTAGAAAATCTACTTCTTAAAATAATTTGGAACTAAGTGAGCAGGATTACAGAAGTATTCCATTTCAGTCAGACATATCGTTAGAGTTAAACTGTATTTGAAGCTCAGTTTTGCTTACAGGGTTACATTAAGTGAACACTTTGAAATTGTTCTAGCCTATTTGTTTCTAGCAAAAATCGTTAATTTCTCATAAGCGACTTAATTTTTCCAACAGCTACCAAATACATCTCAGATTTGTTTAAAACGTATATGTGTATTTATATGTGCTTAGAAAAATATTGGAAGACTATCAGCAAACTTATTTCTGGGTGTATTACTGCAGGATATTTTACCTTTGTCATTTCTGTGGTGTGCTTTTTTTTAAAAAAAAAAAAAAACAGGACATGTATTGTTTTAATTAGGCAAAGATTAAATCACTTTTTAAATACTAAAACTTATTTTCAAATGATGTGCTCTGAATTAATATAAACTATATGTAAAAAAAAAAAAAAAAAATGAATTACACCCAACTTGTGGCACTCTGGTAAGTTAAACAGCAGAAAATGTAGGTAAGATGTGATCCCTGTCTGCTACAGCATTTTGAAAGGGTCCTGTATTTTGGCCGGGCACAGTGGCTCACTCCTGTAAGCCTAGAACTTTGGGAGGCTAAGGTAGGTGGATCACTTGAGCTCAGGAACTGGAGACCAGTCTGGGCAACATGGTGAAACCCTGCCTTTACAAAAATTCAAAAATTAGCTGGGCGTGGTGGTCTGTGCCTGTAGTCTCAGCTTCTCATGAGGCTGAGGTGAGAAGATCTCTTGAACCTAGGAAGTGGAGGCTGCAGTGAGCCTGGGCAACAGTGAAATCCTGTCTCAAAAAAAGAAAAAGAAAGGATTCTGTATTTTACAGGATAACGGTATCCACAGATTTTTTTTTTTTTTTTCTTTTTATATGAATGGTAGGCAGTGGGGAAAGTGAGTCCAGTAGATTTTAGTCAGAGAAGTGTTCTGGGCAAAATGTCATTTACTTTCAGCCTTAAAGAAGGAAAAAAACCAGGTGTGCTTTAATGAAGAGGGGGAGTTCTGTGAATGAGATGTAATATATTTAAAGAAAACATGAATTTCATACAGGGAATTCATTACAGTTGTCAAATATTTGGGATGAGAAAAGGCCATACTTAAGTGGCTAGAAGTTGGAAGAGACTAGGACAAGAAAATCTCTATTTTTTTTTATTTTTTAGCCTTTCCTATGGTGCTGAGAAGTTTTTTAAATATATAAATCTCTTACTCTTTTACTGACATGTATGTTTATTTAATCTGTGTGGTTCCTAGGAAACTTCAGATTTTAGGAAGACACACAAGATATGCAAAGATAATTGATTGCAACAAATAATACAGATCAGTGGTATAAAAATTAAATAACTGAAGCAGAAAGACTAAAGGTTTCAAATGATCTAAGCCTTTCAACACTGCTAAGTATGAGAGGAAGGATGCTTTATGCTGTCTTTTGTGTTCTTCATACAAACTATTTAAATGGGGAGCAAAGTCTCCTCTGTTTTTGCCTATAACTCCTTAGCAAGCAGAATGTTCTCCAAACTAGGCATTACAGAGTAATACATTAGAGAATTGTACGGTAAGCTAAATATTACATCATATTCCTCTCTATCCAGATAAATGAACTTTAGAAATTTCTTTTTTCTTTTTTTTTTTTTTTTTTTAATTTGTAATTGTTGCTGTTTTGTTTTGTTTTGTTTTGTTTTTGAGACAGTCTCTCTGTCACTCAGGCTGGAATTCAGTGGTGAACAATCACAGCTTACTGTAGCCTTAGCCTCCCAGGCTAAAGCAATCCTCTCACTTTAGCCTTCTAAATAGCTGGTAGCTGGGACCATAGGTGCAAACCACCTCACCTCGTGGTTGTTTTCTTTTTTTGTTTTTTTTTTTTTTTAAAGATGGAGCCAACCGTGTCGGCCAAGCTGGTCTTGAACTCCTGACCTCAGGTGATCCACCCACCTTGGCCTCCCAAAGTGCTAGGATTACAGGCATGAGCCACCGTGCCCGGCTCTTTTTTAAAATTTCTTATAAAGTTTTGCTGTATTGCCCAGGATGGTCTTGAACTCCAGGGCTCAAAGGATCCTCTAACCTTGGCCTCCCAAAGTGCTGGGATTACAGGTCTTCATGCCCAGCTGGTGTTTTTTGTTTTTTAATCTAAATTTCAACATTTGAAAATACAGTTTTTAAAATTACAATTTCTACTACACATTACAGTCCTTTTCAAGCATGCTTCTGTGTATGTTAACAGAAGTCAGTTGTTAAATATAGTTGAAATGTGTTTTTTCTCTCTACAGTGTACCACACCCTCTTTTTGGGCAAATAATATGGATGGAGTTGGGGGTTGGGGGGAGTGTAGAATACTGTCAGGTTTGCCTTATCACATTTGATCTGCCTTTAATTAACAGTAGTGAAGTTCCCTTCAACTGTTAAAAATTCTTTTGTTGACAGCTCTACAGGCAAAACAACTTTGATACTTTGTTAGAAATTGGAACTCAAAACTTTTTAGCTTTTTTTTTTTTTTTTGAGATGGAGTTTCGCTCTTGTTACCCAGGCTGGAGTGCAATGGCGCGATCTCGGCTCACCGCAACCTCCGCCTCCTGGGTTCAGGCAATTCTCCTGCCTCAGCCTCCTGAGGAGCTGGGATTACAGGCACGCACCACCATGCCCAGCTAATTTTTTGTATTTTTAGTAGAGACGGGGTTTCACCATGTTGTCCAGGCTGGTCTCGATCTCTCGACCTCGTGATCCACCCGCCTCAGCCTCCCAAAGTGCTGGGATTACAGGCTTGAGCCACCGCGCCCGGCTAACTTTTTAGCTTTAATCTCTTTGTTCATGGAACCAATTGTTTTGATTACTGGTGGTTTCTTAAGAGTGCCCCTTGTGTAAGTCCGTTCTCACGATGCTAATAAAAACATACCCAGGACTGGGTAATTCATAAAGGGAAGAGGTTTAATTGACTCACAGTTCCACAGGGATAGGGAGGTCTCAGAAACCTTTAATCATGGTAGAAGGAGAAGCAAACGCATCATTCTTCACATGGTGGCGGGAAGAAGGAGAGCAAAGAGGGGGAAAGGCCCCTTTTAAAACTATCAGATCTTGTGAGAACTCGCTATCACGAGAACAGCATGAGGGCAGCCGCCTCCATGATTGACCGGGTCCCACCCATGATGTGGGAATTATGGGAACAATAAGATGAAATTTGGACCGGGACACAGCCAAACATATCACTCCTGTTGCTTTCTTAATGGATAGTTTTCAAACTGAGGTGTTTTTCAAAATGTGTATTCCTTTGTTTCATTTCCAGCAACTCTGGTTCTGAAAATGGGGTATGTGTGTCCAGGAATTTGAATATTGAATATCACCTCTGTGACTCTGATGTAGGTAGTTCCTAGACCATGGTTTTCAATGAATAGAATGTGAATGGTATTGCATACTTTCATTATTTTCTTAGAATAAATTGCTTGGACAAATGAGATGTAATTTTACCGAAATAGGTGTATCTAAAATTTTTCTGAACTATAAATAAGGAAAATTTTGACACTTTTAAAATGTTATTCTGGCCTTTGTTAGTTGTTCTGTACCATATTTGTCTCTAAGTGTATGTAATTGTATGAAAGCAGTGAGTAGAACTGATATTGAATGGCAAAATTTGCTTATAAATGGTAATCTTCATGAGGCTATAAAGCCACTCTGAAAGAGTTGGATTTATCAATCATGTAAAAAAGACTTAGTACCCCTTTCATATATTCATATTAACAAATGAGGCTAATTATATTTTATTGAGTACATTTTGATTTGTTCCAGTAGCCGGATCGAGCTGGGAGATGTGACACCACACAATATTAAACAGTTGAAAAGATTGAATCAGGTCATCTTTCCAGTCAGCTACAATGACAAGTTCTACAAGGATGTGCTGGAGGTTGGCGAGCTAGCAAAACTTGGTATAATACAGTTTTTTTTCTTCCCTTCTTTTCTTTCTTACTGTTCTTGAACTCTAGTTTTTTATAGAGCAGAAAGAGTTAACTAGTTTACTTATATTACAAGTGAGGAAATGAGAGTGGTCTAGGTTGTGAGAAAAAATCTCAGAGAAATCAGTCGAATAAAATAATTGAATTTTAAAAAGAAATGCTAAATGTTCTTAATTATTTAGTGTATGTGCCTGTGAGTTTTCACTTTTTAAACTATACTCTAGGGGAGACTTAAACTTCCTAAGATGGCGTAAGAGTTTTGAGGTCATTGATATTCATGGAATGGTTGATGAAATTTAATGCTGATAGCAACAGTGTAGTCCTTTAAAAGGGAAAAAGATTAAATAAAATGTGTTACTCTGTTGTTATATCTTTGTATTTTCCTTGGCAGCCTATTTCAATGATATTGCTGTAGGTGCGGTATGCTGTAGGGTGGATCATTCACAGAACCAGAAGAGACTTTACATCATGACACTAGGATGTCTGGCACCTTACCGAAGGCTAGGAATAGGTAAAAAATTATTTGCGTGGTTTTTTTGGTTTTTTGTGTTTTTTTTTTTTGGTTTTTTTTTTTTTTACTTCAGAGAAGCATAAATATATTATTTGTCAATGTGTCTGACCCCGTTAGTTAATTGGGTCTTTTTAAGGAATACGGAGAAAGGGTTACTGAATTATATAAAATGTGGTGAAAATAACTAATGTTTATTAACGAAATTCTGTCAGAAGCCCTACATAGATTTGTTGTGTATGTAGAACTCAATAAATAGTTCAGATGGCAAATGGATAGATGTATAATTTAAAGGCTGATTTACAAAGTCACATATTTGTTTGTTTTATTAACAGGAACTAAAATGTTAAATCATGTCTTAAACATCTGTGAAAAAGATGGTACTTTTGACAACATCTATCTGTAAGTAAAATAATATTTAATGTTCTTATCAAAGTGGTTTAATAAATTGGCAGTAGAAATCTTTACTAGAAACTTTAAAATCTGGTCACTATTGTGCCTTTGGAAACACTATGGAAGTAGTTGGGTGGTTGTTAGTTTTGTTTTATTAATAGTAGTAGATTAGGAACCTGAGATAGAACACATTGCTTTATTATATTACAATGAGAGCTCCAAAGTCATAAGGGTGAAATCAGGATTAAAACTCAGGCCTTCAGAATTCACAGCCATTCAAGACTTTAAATACTACTTTTCTTGTGGAAAACCTTGTGTGTTTTGTTCAGGGATAATGTGACATGATCATTTTTAGTAGAGTTTCATAATCAAAATCAGGGATTACCTAGCTGAGATTATACTTGAATCTCAGGAGACTATAGATTAAGAGCTATGACTAAGATCACAGTCATAGATGTTCATAATTTAGTTTGGCCATGTGAGAGATTATACGGTGTTACAATTTTTGAGACGTACCAGGCCAGGTGCGGTGGCTCACACCTGTAAACCAAGCACTTTAGAGGCCAAAGCGGACGGATCACCTGAGATTGGGAGTTCAAGATCAGCCTGACCAACATGGTGAAACCCCGTCTTAATTAAAAAGAAAAAAGACATACCAGGCTGGGCGCAGTGGTTCATGCCTGTAATTCCAGCACTTTGGGAGACCAAGGCAGAAAGACCACAAGGTCAAGAGATTGAGACCATGATGAAACCTCGTCTCTACTTAAAAATACAAAAATTAGCTGGGCGTGGTGGCGTGCGCCTATAGTCCCAGCTACTCAGGAGACTGAGGGAGGCGAATTGCTTGAACCTGGGAGGCAGAAGTTGCAGTGAGCCGAGATTGCACCACTGCACTCCAGCCTGGTGCCTAGTGACACAGCAAGACTCTGTCTTAAATTAAAAAAAAAAAAAGACATACCATGTTTTTGATCAATCAGAAAGAATATATATATTCAAACTTTGAGACCCTAGCTTTTTATTTTTCATCATTTTTTTCTGTGTGTTATTAGGGCCTTTGAATAATATTTCTTCTTCTTTTTTTTTTTTTTTTTTCTTGCTTGCTTGTTTGTTTTTTGAGACAGTCTTACTCTGTGGCCAGGCTGGAGTGCAGTGGCACAATCTTTGCTCACTGAAACCTTGGGTTCAAACGATTCTCCTTCCTCAGCTTCCCAAGTAGCTGGGACTACAGGTGTGCGCCACCATGCCTGGCTGATTTTTTGTATTTTAGTAGAGATGGGGTTTTGCCATGTTGGCCAGGATGATCTCCATCTCCTGACCTCGTGATCTGCCAGCCTTGGCCTCCCAAAGTGCTGGGATTACAAAGGCATGAGCCACTGCACCCAGCCATAATTTCTCCTCTTAAAATGAAAAATATTTTGATAGCTATGTTACTTTACCCTTCGTTGACTACAAGAATAAACACTATGAGCCTTCTAAACTCAGCCAGCTGTCTTACAAATGTTAAATAAGATTAGATTAAAAGTATAAAATTTCATCAAAAGCTTTTAGGTAAGCATGCCTAACCTTTGTTGATTATTGGTAATTGTAAAGAGAATGTAACAAATGTCTGCAGTATTCTAGCTCCAACCAATTTGGAGGTATCTGCGGAGAATGCTTAAAACCTGATGAAACCTTAATTTTAATTTTTTTTCTGATATTCTCTTATGTCTCAGGCATGTCCAGATCAGCAACGAGTCGGCAATTGACTTCTACAGGAAGTTTGGCTTTGAGATTATCGAGACAAAGAAGAACTACTATAAAAGGATAGAGCCCGCAGATGCTCATGTCCTGCAGAAAAACCTCAAAGTTCCTTCTGGTCAGAATGCAGATGTGCAAAAGACAGACAACTGAACAAATTACAAATGAACTTTCTTGCACTTGCTTGTCGCCAAATAAAAGAGAGGCCCATTGATTCCCCCCATTTTCTTTTAAAGCTTTTCTCCCTTCTTGTTCTTGTTTTTCCTTCTTCCTTTTGTTTCCTCTAAGAGTTTTAATACTTTCAAGGACTTTAAAAAAAAATCATGTTTGGATTGTTTTCTCTTATTTTTTGTGAGGTGGTTTGAAGGAAGGAAAAGGAGATCTGTTTAATTTTTCAGTTAAAGTTAGATGGTCCTAAAAATTTAGTTGTCAAATAATTTCAAATTTAATGTCCTGCTTTCACATTGAATGGCAGAGCCCACAAAATATTATGTATTTCAAAAGACAAATAGAAGCAGCAGCAATATCTTATTCTCTAATTCATAGACAAGTTGAGTGTGCTTGTGGTACTTTGGGTTTTTTAAGACTTTGTGGGATACTAATCCCTAGGCATTGCCTTCACTCCACCTTTAGTCCTTCTGAGCACACTCTCAGAAGTTGGAACATCGTTATCCTTGTAAGAAATACTAAGCTTATTTTGATTATTAAGCAATTATTTCTTCTCTTCTTGCTGGTGGGTGGGGCAGTTTGGTTTAGGTAGTATTATACCTTTGTCTAAATATTTGAGTTAAACTGCTTTTTTGCTATTGAGTGGGCTGGTTACTAGCAGGTTGGTTTTTCCTGCCGTTGATTGTTACTAGTGGCATTAACTTTTAGAATATGAGCTGGTGAGATTAATTTGTTTTAATATCCCAGCTAGAGATATGGCCTTTAACTGACTTAAAGAGGTTTGTTGTGATTTAATTTTTTCCCTGTTCCTTTTTCTTCAGTAAACCCAAAAATAGTCTAACCTTAAAAATTGAGTTGATGTCCTTATAGGTCACTACCCCTAAATAAACCTGAAGCAGGTGTTTTCTGTTGAACATAATAAAAAATACCTAAAGGAAGCTTAGATGGACTGTGACATAATAAATGCAATTAATGTCATCCAGTGCCAGCTGTTAAAAGTGTAACCACTGAGCATTTGATTTTACGGGAAAAAATATCTAGGCAGTATTTTTGAGAATAACATAGCAGTGCTATTGCATATCTGTTGGAGAGCATCCCAGATTTGCTTATACTCTGTGCCTGTGATACTGAGTTTAAGGATTTGGGGCAGGGGTAATTGTTAAACATACTGCTTCTATTCTTGGAAAAGCAGAAGTGTAAAGTGTTAATAATACAAATGGCACTGTGACCTCCTCCACTGAGAGGACTGGTTTATGCCAGATCATTTTCTGGCACATAGGGAGTGGCTTTGACAGGTTGATAACTTTGTAAGATGGGAGACATCTGAAATATTTATGTTTATAGTCCCATCTCCAATAGTTAGAAATTTTCTCAGACTTTAAAATAATGCACAGGACTTGAGCTTTCTGTCATTTGACTTTAAAAGGAAGTTTCATTTGTAGTATTTATCCTCTTATGTAAAATTCTGGTATAAAAGTCTCATCTCCAAATATGTTAAATGACAAAATTATTTTATAAAATGTTTATGCACACTTTATAACCTTAAGTTTTTGAGAATGTGAAAGTACAAAGTGCAGTAGACTTCAACAGTCTTGAGTGCCAATAATAATACAGAAAAAGAAGACAGTTAATGAATGGGTTTATAGAGTTCTAATCTTAAGATGGTAAAAATGTAAAAAGACCTTGCTGGTTTTTTGGGGGATGTTCATTTCTTAAACAATCCAAATCTAAGCTTAGAAGAAAAGTTTAGCATTAAGCACCTTTATCTTCATGGATAAGCTTCAGCTTGCTCTTGCCAAGAGATGAGTGCTTGAGTTACAGAAAGTGTAATTAGTTTGAAGAATACAGCAGCCTTTTTGTAAACTTCCCAGATATCAAAATGGACTTTGATATATAAATGGTTTTCTGAGATGACACTGCCTCTATTTCTATAACCATTTCACCTGGACTATCTAATCAGTCCTATGAATGTATCCCTAAATGTGGTTATTGAAAACCGAATAGCTGCCTCATGACAAGTACATGTTATTTAAGGAGGAAAAATATTAAATTTTGAATTGTGTAGGCTCCCTATCAATATATATAGAGTTTCTTTTTCCACGCTACTCAGTGACTTAAACTGTAAATGTTTATAAAAGGTTAATTGTCCTACATCAAACTTGTATTAAATAATTCCATCCACTTACGGAGGAGGAGGAGAAAAATGTGGAAGAGGTAAAAAGTCGGGCACAACTTCATATGCCTATGAGTCAGGAAAGATCGAGCTAATATCCCATGTTGAGCTGATTATTTTGATATATGATGATAATTATCTTTGAGGTAGAACAATTCTGTTAACTAGGAAATGACAGGATATATCCATCATATTTTTCAGGACAAAATAGTTTTTACTGTGGGACAAATAGGTTAAAATTACACTTTATGGTAGTTGCATTTAGGTTTTAAAGCAAAGAATCTGTAGAGAAATCTATGCAATATATAGTATGTCCCAGATTAGTTTTCATTTGGGAGAAGTTCTGAAATATCTCTGAAGCAGTTTGTTTACTCATCAATTGAAAAGTCCTCCAAAAAGAGAACTATTGGGAAACCATGGTGTGTGGTGGTGGAAAAGAAAAGCTCCCTCAGTTTTTTGGAGGGAATAACTTTAAAAAAATACTTAAATGGCTAAGTATACTTGGTGCAGTTAAGAATTAAACTTGTCAATTTTAACATTGCTGTTACATCTGAAATAAACGTGTTGTTCTGTTAGTGATCTGTGATACCTATAAATGTCAAAACTGTATTGTTGAATTCTACAGCCAGCAACTGTACATACTCATTGTGTAGTGTTTTCGTTACTGCTTGAATTTAGTTTCACATTTCTTTAAGGTCTAATATTAAAATCATTAAAATAGGCCAGGTGTAATTAAGGCATTCTAATTCAGATCTTATGTGACTTGCTAGGTACACTGCCCAATAACTACAGTTCAGTTCCAATGAGAAAGAAAAAATAAGATCCAAGGAACTGTCTTGCTGCTATATTTTGAATGTAATTGTTAGAAATACACTTTAGGCTGCAATCTAATTAGCAATATGTATTGGTTACAGATGACATTCAGGTTTTTGCTTTGTTTTGTTTGTAGGAAGGAAGAAGTTCAATGAGTTGGGAATTGGTTTCTAAACTTTTTCCTGAATATCAAACAAACGTGAATTTAAGAATTTTATTTTAACAATTAATTCAGTATTTATTTCTAGTCAAAATTGTTATAATTAGAGTTTTGCTTTTTTCATTCAAGCTCCTTGTCTAGTGTGTCTTAGTTACTACTGTAGTTTAAAACAATAAACATGTATTATCTCCCACAGTTCTGGGTCAGGAATCTAGGAGTTGCTTAACTGGGTTGTTCTGTCTTGAGTTCTCAGAAGGTTGCCGTCAAGCTGTTAGCCAGGACTGTGCCATCTTGAAGCTTGACAAGGCTAGAGGAGTCATTTCCCACATGTCTTGCTCTTGTGGCCCTTGGGCTTCAGTTCCTCATTATGTGGGTATCACCATGGGGCTGCCTGATGGGCAACTGGCATGTGGCTTTCCCCAGAGCAGGTGATACATGAAAGTGAGCAGAAGCCTTATTTTTTAATGATGTAGCCTCAGGTGACATCATTTCTGCCATATTCCATTAGTCACACAGAGCAACCATTGAATCAGCCTGGTATAGTGTGGGAGAGGGGACTACACAAGGATGTGAATACTGGGAGGTGGATATCATTGGACCCTCTAGGAGGCTGTCTCTCACACCTCAGAGAAGATGCTGGACTTGACTCCCAAGGTCAGAGTAGTTTTGGTTAGGTTGTGTTTTATTAGTCTCTAAAGGGAGTAATTTTCTATGAGGGTTAGAAAGCACTGCACTTTACAGTTATTCAGGATAGAAAAATGGTCGGTCTAAAGGCTCTGCTCTTGTGGTTGGGATTTCAGTGGGGAGGGGAGAGAGATGCTGTTCTCACTGAGTGATTTGAACATTTCTGGGAAATTGGATACTAAAGTCATAAGTAGGAACAGTGAGCCTATGGAAATTTTTCAGGGTGTAAATGTTTTCGATGGCAGAGTGTCCTTAACTGGTTTTCCCGTTCAAGGCTGAACTTTAGGAAGTTAGTCCTAATTTATGATACAGCCAAGTAATATAGTCATATTGGAAAAAGGGCTTGAATCAGATTTCTTAATGTATGTGTAGTTAACTTGGTAGAACATTGAGAAATGTCAGAGAACAATGTGTTACTGGGGCAGAAATTCTCAACCTTTTCAGTTCCCTAAAATTAAGATACTTGATTTCTTAGGTGAAAAATTTTTTTTTTTATCTAGAATGAATCAAGTTGTGTTTGTTCCTTGCTCAGTAGCTTCTAGAAGAAGAAAAAATAGCATCAAGATCTGATTCAGAAATAGTTGGGAGCAGTAAGTTAATATGAAGGAATTGCTACTTATTACAGCCTAGATTTTAGATCTAGAAGAATTAAGACCTTTTAAAATTTGTGATGAAAGCTTAAATCCAGTATTTGGGAAGTTACTTTATTGGCTGGAATATTTTGGAGTTTGTAAACTTTGAATTAGATATTCCTGCTTTAACTGAAACTAATTTGCCACATAGCTTAATTTCATCCCATTTTTACTTGTTTTATTTACTGTCCTCAAAAACTCAAGGCATCTGAACTCAAAGGATAAACAGTATAAATTAAAGTGCATGTTAAATAACTGTAGCTTTCACAGGACATCTGATTATAATGCTTTTCTTTATTTGTCCATGCTTATAGAGCTTGTCTGGTTTATCTTTGAGAAACCAATTGCCAGTATCAAAAATCTTCTTAAAAGATTTGAACAATCTTGAATTATCCTTGTCACTAGCAATCTCTTCCCCCTAAAGTATAATAAAACTGTCAGATACTGTATGTGTAATTGCTTATGCGGGTAAAATTTGAATACACAGCCTAAACGGTAAAACCCAGTTTCCTTAATAAGATGAGGGCTTTGTTAGAGCACTTTAAAAATAGTTTTATAATATTCTTCATTTTCACCTTCCTAAGTTAGAAATGATCTTCCTTTAGTGGATATAAAAGTTGTACATTGTTTCTGCAAATGTATTGGGTGCCTACTATTCTGAGCTCTAGGGATACATTAGGGATCAAGGCAAATAATTTCTGTGATCTCATTAAAGGTAAGTAGAATTCTAGTCTAAGTAGAATTCATGTCTAAGTGAAGGTCATCTCTTTACTAAAATTAATCAGCTTCAAGGATCTACATTTTACCTTAGTTTTGAATTCCCTACATTGACTTTCTCTCTAACATTGGCTCCCGTACAAACAAAAAGCCTTAATTCCCATAGGAGAACTGAGACTTAAAAGTGTGAAAAGGAGTACAAAAGAGATAGAAGTTCAGAATTTATGCAGCAGAAATAATCTAACATTGTAGAGGTTTTTTGTTGTTTTATTTTTAAGACAAAGTGTCACCGGGTATCACTGCAACCTCCACCAAATTCTGCTGTCTCAGCCTGCTGAGTAGCTGAGATTTATGCACCACCATGCCTGGCTAATTTTTATATTTTTAGTGGAGACAGGGTTTCACCATGTTGGCCAGCCTCTTCTCAAACTTCTGATCTCAGATGATCCTGCCTCAGTCTCCCAAAGTGCTAGAATTACAGGCTTGAGCCACTGTGCCTAGCCTAACATTGTAGAGGTTCTAATTCCATCATACGTACCTTGTTTCTCGACTCATGCAGCTTGTCTCATTCTAAATGGCCTTTCTCATGCTACAATTTAAAAACAGACTAGCTTTCTCATGCTGCAGTTTCAAAACTGTCAGCTCTGGTGACAGCTAGAGATCATATCATCAGACAAATGAGTTACCTACTTCACAATTTGACCTTTTGCATCAGGATCCAAAGAGTAAATTACTTCCTTCATTTTAGTTTCTGACTAACAGTTCTTCCCCAGATGATGCACCTAAATGCATGTAATGACCTCCTGGAGACTTGATTGAGTTTGTTTTACATATAAGCAAGTCTGTACGACCTTGGTTACATTTCTCTGCAAGTTTCCTGATTTATTTGCTTTATTTATTTCCTGTCTTACTTGCTTTGTTACAGTTACAACACTGCTAACTCCTTCAAGTGTAACTTCCACAACTACTCAGTATCTACTAGCTTGGTCTTTTCTTGCCAAACCTTTCTTCCTTTTTCCCTGCATAGAATTGTCTAGAGTCCCTTCACAGCAAATGGAAGTTTTGCCTGTAATATGTACCCTGGGACAAGTTTAGAACGTGACTCCTGGATTATCACCAATCACTGACATTTTTAAATAACAAGACGCTCACTCCTTCATAGTACGCTGCCTTACATGAAATATTGTCATGGAATGTATTCACGAGATGAAGTGCTGACAGTTAAAAAGGTGAGTATGGCCCTTTAATTAAGGACTGTTAAGTATGGAGATGCTTAACAGTCTAGTAGAAAGTAAACATTTTTTCAATTGCCATGAGATACTATGTTGGGATGGGAGGCATAATTTTACAGAATTTTGAAGAAGACTTAATTTAATTAGGTTTGAGTTTGGTTCTATTACTACAAACAAAATGAGTAATTATTGTGTCATGGTTCTTTAGACATCTCAGAATGAACAAAAATTATAAGTGTGCTTACAGAATTAAATATCTTTTCTGAGGCATAGTAGCACCACAGGAAACGTGTGTCCCGTAGCAGATATGAGATAACTTAGCTATTGGAAAAAATAATCTAGGACCAAAGTAATTGATTTAAAAAAAAAAAAAATGTAGCCCAACTCCAGAGCTTTGCAAATTACAAGTAATAAGAATCACACTGCTTTAAAAAAAAAAAAAAAAAAAAGTCAAATTTAACAAATGTATACGTTTAAAAGGACAAAAATTCTGCATTGATTAAGTTGAGAGGGGTTTAAACAACTCAAATTCAACTTTTTTTTTTTTGAGACGGAGTTTTGCTCTTGTTGCCCAGGCTGGAGTGCAATGGCACGATCTCGGCTCACCGCAACCTCTGCCTCCTGGGCTCAGGCAATTCTGCCTCAGCCTCCTGAGTAGCTGGGATTACAGGTACGCGCCACCATGCCCAGCTAATTTTTTGTATTTTTAGTAGAGACGGGGTTTCACCATGTTGACCAGGATGGTCTCGATCTCTTGACCTTGTGATCCACCCGCCTTGGCCTCCCAAAGTGCTGGGATTAAATTTAACTCTTTAAAGAGCCCCTATTCTAAGAAGAGCATTGAGATATTTTGTTAATGAAAAGAGCAAAAAGAAAATAATGGAAAAAGAATAGGTAATTTTTTAAAATATGGCTTTACTTTTGCCTAGTATTGCATTGGGTTCATTCATGACAGTAAGACTTACTGAGAGCTTACCTTGTATCAGGCACTGTGATTGGTGTTACCATACAACATAGTGCCTATAATTAACAATAATGTATACTTAAAAATTTGTGCGGAGGATAAATCTTATACATAAGTTTTTTAATCACAAAACAATAGAGGCTGAGAGGAAACTTCTGGACATAACAGATACAGCATTGTGATGGGTTCGTGGGTGGATACTTAGCTCCAAACTTAGCAAGTTGTATACTTCAGATAATGTGCAGCTTTTTGTCAGTCATACCTCAATAAAGTGCTTTTTTAAAAATTCACCGAAATAGATCATATCCTGGGTTGTAAGTCAAAATATAAGAAGGTTGGTATCTGGAAAATCTCTAAATATTTGAAAATTAAACACGCTTCTAAATAACATGTCTAAGAAGTTGTTGCAACAGAAGTGATAATATTTTGAACAGAAGGAAAATGAAAACTATCAGCTGGGCAAGGTGACTCCTGTAATCCCAGCACTTTGGGAGGCCAAAGTGGGCAGATCACAAGGTCAGGAGTTTGAA